GCGATGACATTCTGACCCAGTCCTCATGCGATGGACTTTGGGGGGATGTTGTGAGGAAACTGGCCAGAGCTCCCACAACTGAGGGACAGCGTGCAGAGCCCCACTCAGCAGAGGAACGCGGTGGCTACAGCCTCCCACGCAGAAAAGGGCAATCCCAGGCTGGTCTCCTCTGAGGAACCTGCTCTGCTTTCAGGGCTGAGTTCCCTCCCGGGTTTGCACCTCTATGCAGAGCCCTGTTCTCTTTGCAAGCCAGGGGGGAGCATCTGTCTCCATGGATGCTACAGAGTGCCGCTTACTGGTAGCTGGAGCCCTGGACCGTACTGCACGGTACTTGAACAGATTTATTGGAGTTCATACTAATTGTTTATCACCCAAAACTCACTTCATATGGTACACTGGGTCAGAAACAAAAGTCCTCACTCGTTTTTGCAAATGCTACAACTCAGGTATTCATTGGGGTTGGAGGGTCCAGTGACTTTTGCAACTCTTCCCGTACATTTGCTGTGTTTCTGAGCCAGTCCTACTTACTTTTTGTCTGTTTTTCTTTTTAAAAATTTGGTTCATTTCGACCAATATTCTGTGTAGAAGAATTTATCCAGCTTAGCCCAGCAGCAACAAGGCTGTGTGAGTCCTGCGAGGGGCTACCTGACACTCAACCTGAGAGTCTTCCGCCTTTTAACCTTGGAGCTAAGTGGACTTGCCTCCTCTAGACCCTTCCTCTCCCACTTTTTAAAAATCTCCACCTATTTTATCATTCTGTTTTTCCCTACCAGCACAATTCACAACACCTAAGTACTCATCACTAGATTAATATAAAATACGTGTCACACACACTGGAATATTACTCAGTCATAAAAAGAGTGGAATCATATCAATTGCTGGGAAAAATGTTTTATGTGTGGTACTGGGAATTGAATTCAAGACCTAATGCTTGCCCAGCTGCCCCTGAGCCACTGAGCTACATCCAAGGCCTTTGCTGGGAAAATTTGAGATCATAAGCAAAATAGGCCAGCATCAAACAAATACTGTGTGTTTTCTTTTATAGGAGCAACCTAAATATGAATCAATGAATCAAACAAACGAGTGATGATAGACAGCAGATAGACTCTTGGAGACAGGGAGGAGGAGCAAGGACAGGAGGAGAAAGGGGATTCAGGGAAGGAAAATGAAAAATACACGTTATATAGATGGACCAGTTTCCCAAACGACATCACTATTCTGTAATGTAAGCATATACTGGTAAAAAAAAAATTAGAAATGTAAAATATATTTTTCTCATTCAATTCCTGCCTTCTCAGGCTAGTATAAATACTTATGCAGTTCTCCAAACGGCCACGAGAGGGAGACCTAAACTCCTGTCCCTTGCTCTGGGGCTCTAAGGCCCTCCAGGGACCCTGCAGAGCTCTCACCAATTCTCTCCTGGCTCCACCCGGGAGGCCACCCCGCTGCTTCCCCCGGGGCCAGGGGGTGGACTAGGGGTGCACTCCGTCTGCTCCCTCTGCCAGGACCCTCGTTGGGCTCTGTGGAACTCTCGCCTCGGAAACCCCAGGGTCTCTGGTTTCCCCAGGCTCCCACCCGGCTTGGGATCCTCGGGGCCGCGGTGGCCTCCGCACCCTGACGTCGTGGACCCGCGCCCCGCGATCTGTGCCTTCATCTGCCAGCGCTGGGCCGCTTGGCGGCGGCGTTCGCGAGCGCTCGGACTTCGCACGATCTGGGGCGCAGGGGTGCGGAGCCTGGTTCTCTAGGACGCTGCTGGGGGTTGGGGGGGCGTGTTTCAGTGAAAACCTGGAGGAAGCTGCCTTTACTTCTCCAGAGTCCAGTCCTCAGCCTAGGAGGGTCTGCGCCTTAAAACCTTCAAGCCGTCACTTTAAAGTGTAGGTGACTGACAGTAATGCCAGTAACTTCCGTCCAACAGACCACCGAAGTCCGCTCGGAAGAAGCTTCCCTCTCAAACGTTTGTAAAAGCATCAGTTTTGCAATCATTTGCAAATTCATCGGGTATTCCTAATCGATAAACAGCCCAGCTTTGTAATTTCACCTCTACACCTCTTGTCAACTCTTCTGGGTTCTCTGATTTAATTATGAGTTAAATAAAATATTTGACAAGTTCATTTCGTGTCTGTAGTGCTTTTTAAAAAAAAAAATCTGATTTAAAGTTATTCTTTAACAAAATCTGGAGCCCAGTACTGGCTCTGATTTGGCCTGGGAACCACATCTCCTTTAATTCAGGGCTCTTGGACCCTCTCCATGTACCCCTCCTTCCCAAACCCAAGCCCCTCCTAGGCATGGGGCCCTGCTCAATGCCCTCACTAATGCCCTACCCAGCTGCTCTCCTGCTAAGGGGGAAGGGAAATCTTGCCCAGGCTCCCTGTGTCCCACACAACCCCACCGACTCCGCATTACCCCCCACCCACCTCCAAAGCTCCCAGGACTGGATCTGAGCTTCCACAAGGGGGCGCCACCACCCCTCTCTGAGCTCCTCTCTGTGGAAAGGGGCCTGCACAGTTCCCGGGCCAGCTATAGCGCCGCCCACTGGGCTTCCTTCTTGCTGCTGTCTCTGGTCCAGCCCAGCGTCTCCCAGAGCTCCTGTCTTGTCTTGTGCTTCTTACTGAGCCTCATCCTACTTTTTGCTGCTTGCACTCCCAGCTTCCAGTGGAAAGCCGCTTTTATTTGACTCCCGCTGTGCTCTGTTCCACTCTGAAATCTAAAACCAGGGCAGGATGGACTCTGAGTGGTGCAGCGCTGAGAGAGTAAATGACCACGGTAATAGCACAGTAAAACCTCAAGGGTGTAAGCGAAGGTGGCTGAGGAAGGTCACCATCCACAGGAACAAACTCAGCTTGTGCATCTTACCAGCATCTGATAATGTGTTCCCGCTCCTAAGAGTGGAGGTGGTATTTTCCCCTGGATATTCACAATTTTTATAGTTATTATTGGGACGCATACGAAATGTATTCCGCAGGGTCATTTAGATTTGAAAATATATTCTCTAAACTGTTTCTTCCCTCAGTCCCTCGGGTCCCAACTACAAACTGTTTGGAGCTGGAACAGAGAACAAATCAACCTTCCTGTGCTTCCAAGAAGAGAAAAGAAAGCGGTTATATGAGTGGTTAAAGGAGAAAAGCGCGTTGGATGCTTTCAGTTTTGGCGAACTGACTGGCTGAGCTGCCTTTGCCCATCACAGGAAGCACTGAGTGACTGCGAGCTAACGCAAAACAAGGCCTGGGTGTTCGAGGGCTGGGGAGGCTCTGACCTCGGTAATGGGCTTGTCCATCTGGGCTGAGGGACAGCGCGTTATTCTGGTATGAAACAGGAGCAATACAACATCTTGAAGCAGTGTGTCCACCCGAGGGCATCTGTACATCCTGCACGAGGGCCCTATCCCAGCTCTCCTGTCGTGGTCACCATGGTCATCACAGTCAGGGCGGCCCCATCTGGGCACCTGCTGCAGTCTCAGGGGTGAAGAATGTGATTGGCCAGCCTGAGCTCCGTGTTAGAGACCCTGCCTCCCCCATCGTACAGGGGCTCTAATTCTCATGATCTGTCTCTGCCAAATCAATAAAACCACTAGCAAATGTAAACAAAGATTTATCATTAGATTAACAATGCATAGGTGTGAGAGGAAGTTAAAGCCCCAAGGAGATAAGTCAGTGACAACATCTTCTTCATTTCTGGCCAGGTCCTTCCTTGGAAAGACAAGGATGTTATTATTACCTTCCTCTGTGCCTCACCGTGAGGCAAGAATAGAGCACCCTTGCACCCTCCGTCTAAAATGGAACAGGTGTCAGGCCAAACAGATGTCAGGCCAGTTAATCTGAGTTCCAAGCCTCTGGCCAGTTACTCTTTTCTCAGGTAATTAAAGAAACAAGACAATGTGCTGGAGTGCAGATTGGCCCTGGTAAATCCAGCTGACAGAAACCCAGTTTCCTCATGCCAGAGCAGAAGTTTGGGGAGTTAGAGACAAACGTAACCACTATATGCACAGTGTTTTGTTGAGGTGGGTATTATAAGTCACCTAGAGATGATTTGAATTATGTGGAGGGATGCACACAGATCGTGTGTGCACAGATCATGTGCAGATGTTACACTGCTTTTAAAGGGACTATAGCATTCATGGATTTGGGTATATACAAGGGAAAAGAAATTCTGAAAATAATTGCTTGAAGATAGCAGGAGTCAGCTGTACTGAGTCTGAGCTCCCTCTGCTAAACTACGCCATCTCCCTGCAGCTCTGCCTCCCACTGTCAGACTGTCCCCAGGCAGAGCGCTGGGTTCTGGCAGGGCGCTTGCCTTTCTGTGTCCTGTGTCTGGTTAGTAAGATCCCCACACTCATCAAGTCAGCGATCAGATGAGTAGAGAATGAGGTTCATGAACAAAAACAAGGTTAAAAACAGCAACAAAAAACAAAATAAGGTTCTTCATTTTAGAACTAAAAAGAAGAAGTTTTCAGGCTAGACAAAAAAAGCCCAGGAGTTAGAATTATTGCACAAGGTCAGAATCGGACTAAGGGTCAAGCTGACACGCCTGAATAGCTCCCGCCGCCCTTAACTCTTATTTTGGAGAATATTAGTGAGGCAGTTTGGCCCAGAATTCTAAGCCATCCTTAAAATTAGAAGGAAGCTTGCTAGACCTGCATTTACTTTAGTATGGGCTTATGGCGCCCTCTTGTGTTGATTTCTGAGAATTGCAGGATTCCATGTGAACTGGGAAATATTTTTTTGTTACTTTTTTTCCCAAAAAATCATTTCAGTATCTGACAAAAATGGGAAGCAAAGCATTCATAATTCCAAGTATCAATTTCCGATCTATCTTATGTGCACCTGCTATCTCATTTTATGTTTCAAATTGGCCCTCTGAAGAAGGTCACATAGGTATTGACCGTTTGGGGAACAGGGGAACAGCTCAGGGGTGCAAAGCTACCCCAGGGCACAGTGGCCAACATCAGAGCCAAGGACTCCTGGCTGCACTGACCCTAATGCTCGTCGCTTGTTATTTCACAGGAACTGACAGATGGGTCGCAAAAATCCACGGGGTCCCATCACTGCCAGGGTGAACTCATTGGCACAGCAGGTAAGGGTCAACTGCCGCATGGAATGTGGGGTGCAAAGTAGGAGCTGGCATCTGAAACATTCCTAAGCTGGAGCTCGGGGCCAGGCAGGTGGGCTTTCACATCTTTTCCACATCTGCCAGGATCTGGGTTGCAGGGTATCCCAGGGCCGGGGCCAGCATCCTGCATGCTCTATGCAGGAACAGACCTCACATCTGTAAGCCGAGTGGCCTGTGGTCCAGCAAACTTTTCCTGCACACTCTTCCCTCGTGCTGGCTCTGTTGCAGTTTCTCTTCTGATTTTCCACCACAACCAAGCACCTGTTTCCATACTTGTACTTCTTTTCACCCAACGTGGAAGATGCCTGGAAGATTCCTTTCATCCAGTATTTGAAACTGCACTCAACTCTTAAGGCCAAGTTGCAGGGCCATCTCATCCCTCTGACTCCCTTCGAATTTCTGATGTCCCCCACTACCTAGTTCCATGGACATCTCTCATGAACGGACGCATAACTCCTTTGCATCTGTTTTAAAATATACATTGTGTCCTGCATAATCTGAGGACAGAAACCACGACTTCTCTGCATTTTGTGTGATAGAAAGACACAAAGATAGGATGAGGTTGGGGCCAGACAAGGCCAGGTACCTCATGTTGTCACGCAGACCTTTCCTGCTGGATTCCTGTGTATGTACAATGTCTTAACAGCACCTGTTATGGAAATGGGGTAACAATCTGCACAAACCCCTGATACACAGAATGCACTAGATTTAACAAAATCTGGTTTGAATTGTTTGTTTAAAGAAAACAAATCTATATAGAAGTGACTCATCCAAGGTCACATGTATGGTTTCTAGGTTTCAAACTCTGAGTTTCTGATTCCTAGGTCTTTATCTTTTAAGCCAACCAAAATAATTTTCATTCCATTTCTTCTTGATCCCATAAGCAAATAAAATTGCTGCCAACACACTCTACATAGTATCCTGCCCCTGTATTAGTCAGCTTTCCATTACTGTAACAAAATACCTGAAATAATCAGTTTAAAAAGAAGATAGTTTTATTTGGGCTCAAAATTTTGAAGGTTTCGACCTATATTCACTTATTGTTGTTACGTTTGTCCCTAGAGTGAGGCCACACATCATAGTAGTGGCACATGCTAGAGGAATCTTGTTCATTTCATGATCAGGAGTGAAAGAAAAAGAGGCCAGAATTGCAAATCCTCTTTGTGGTTCACCGCAATGACTGGAAGATCTCCTACGATGTCCAGCCACTTGAAGTTTCCAATGTATCCTGATTGTGCCATCGGCTGGAGACCAAGCTTTTAACATCAAAGCTCTGGGGAATTTTTAAGGCCCAAACTAAAGAAAGCCTATTTTACATTTCTGCCCCTTGTCACTATTTTCCTTCAAAGTCAAAGACTCCCAAAGCAAAGACTCCCTTTTTGTATTCTCCACCACATGGCCTACAAGAACGGCACACAGTAGGAACTGGATACATCCTTAAGAAACGCTGAGCAATCCTGGGCACGCTGCAGTACCCAGATCCTCTCTGTGTTGTCGCCCCTAAATTCAACACACTCCCTGATTCCTCCCCTTACTCTTTCTGGTCCTTCTGGGCTCACCCAGGATGACACCATAGCAGAGCAGACACAGGGAGGTGAATCCCAAGCACAGAGCAGGACCAAGCCCCAGTCCTCGGTGTCCAGAGGATGGAAGTCACTTTCTAAAGCCAAGTCAGGGTGATACTAATGCACCTGAAGAAGGAAAGCAAAGGTGATTGGGCAAGAAACCAAGCTGCCCAAGTCTGGAGGAGGAAATGAGAGGAATGGGATACAGGGAGGCAAGGCAGTTGGTATAACCAAGCCTTAACTAATCAATGCTATGTTGCAAATGAGTGGGCTTGACCAAAGGCAAGCACATCTCTGCCCTGAACACCGTCAGCTGATTCCAAGCCAGTGAGCATCTTCAGTCCGGCTTTCCAAAGACAGAGCCTGGACCCTCCCTTGGCCATGACAGCCTGGGGTTTCGCCCCCTTGTTTTCTCTCTAAATTGTTTTTCAGTCAGGGCTGTGGGGCTGCGACTTGCTGGAGATGCAGCTGGACACTTCCTGCTCCATCTCCTCAGTGACTCTGTCTCACCAGCCAGGCGTCTCTCTTGGCACTGAGCACAAGACAGCCAGCGAGGCTGTGGGCTAAATCTAAACCATGATTTCATCCCTAAGCCAGGCTCACAGCAGGAGCCTCTGGAGGCCTAAGATAAAACCCCTGCATCCCGAGATCTCAGGGATTTTGCATATTTCTAGGGTCCAAAGAGCAAGAGAAGGAATGATCTAGAGAAGCTGCTGCAGGAGCTCCAAGTATATTTTGCCCATAAACGGCCCTGCCAGGACCGCCTTATGGCACCTGAGGGTCCAGAGCGTCACCTCTCCCCTGCCCAAGTGTCCTGTTTGCTGTGGTTCAGTCTCAGGAGGCCTGTTCTCTGCCCCAGAGAGGAACAAATCTGTGACAGGATTACAGCCTGGTATTCTGCTAAGAAAGTGTCAGGCCTCCCTTCCACTTTTTAACCTTTTGTGCATTTTTCAATTTTAAATTTTTTAAACTGACACATTAAAAGATGTGCATATTTATGAGACATCATTTGACATTTCTGTACCCTATATACATTGTATAATGTTCAAGTTAGGGTAAGCAGATCTGTCAGTTTAAATGTGTCTCATTTCTTTGCGATAAAAACTTTCCAAATTTTTATTCTAACCTTTTATTTCACTCAATTTTTTTGTCTTATTTTTTGAAAAGAACACAGTATATTATTGTTATCTCTAGTTATCCTAATGGCAATACAATGCCATAATTTCTTTCTCTTAACTATAACATAGTACTCATTGGTTGACTCTTTACCCAACTGTTTTAAAGCATATTTCCTGCTTAAATAATTAAGGGCAAAGCAAATACAGTTGTCACAAAAACCAAAGTTTGTTTTTTCAAACACTTCCTACTCCAAGAAATGATTTCTGATTTTTTTAAAGAAATACAATCCAGAATATTTCCTCAGAGCAGCTCCTCAGAGCAGCTAAGCAGTCATAGGGATTCATTCCTTATATGACAGCCCTGGGGTGTGGCAGGACGTCACCCAACATCAACGAGCTGGAGCTGAAAACCAGACGTCAACCCAGCAAGGTGTCTGATGGGCAAAGTTACCACTACAGCTGCAGGAATACGGATTAAGCAGGCCCTGTGCTTGAAACCTGACCTTTGGAGGATGCCAGAGACATGAAGGTGTTTTTTGTAACACTAGCAACAGGAAGCATATATGCTAAGATATATGATTCTGGTTTCAGCCAGCAAGAATAAGGGAGGGCAGAGAATGTTGCAGGCAGGGAGGACAGGAGGAGGGGGAAGGTGAATTCCATGCAGAAAGCAGAGTATGAGCATAAGCTCAGAGGTGCAAAGTTGTTCTGCAAATGTGCAAAGTGTCTGCAGCTTATGGGGCTGTGCAGTGAGGTCTGTGCCAAAAGCAATCACTACAAGGTTAGGATAAGATCAGATGAGAGAAGTCCAGTGGTATTTTCATAAGGAGTTTGGACTTCATCACTTAGAGTCATCCAAGTGCACTGAAGATGAAAAAATGAGCTTCAACTGGACAAGATCACACTCCCAGCCATGGGTGCTATAGACAGGACTTTGGCTCAACTGTGCAGGAGAGATCCTTGACCCTGAAGCCTGAAGGCTCCTGGTCTTTTTCTGTGCCACTTCTTTCCAAACCTGGACTCCTGACCCCCTTCCAGTGATGCAGTTTGAGTTGCTTTGTTCCTGGGGCTGAGTGGTGGCAGTTCCTGGCTCATTAATACTAAGATGGTAACGAAAAAGTACTTAGGGCTTCTCACCTGGTCCCCAGACAAAATACTTTCATTTTCCTACTCTGGAAGGAAGCAGACCAATATGCAGCTTTGGTGCATGAAATGAGAGAGTCTCTGGCTGCTCTCTGGCTGCAAAGGAAAATGTTTCCTGGACACTTAGAAGCAAAGCTGGGATGGGCACCAGGCCTGGAGCTGGGGCTGACAGTCACCAGCACAGTGGTGGGCAGGGTCTGGATTTGGAAAAGGCAAAAGCACGTCTCAGAGAGAATATGTAGGCATCTTGCAGGAAGGAAAAGAAGCAAAGATGGAGGGTGTGGAGAAAACTGATCAGTTTACGGAACTCCACTCTGCTCCACAAAGTTCTCTGCAGACAGCTTGTAACTACACCTCAGAAGTAGAAAATCATATGGATTTTCTCTTTGTTTAGGGATATTGTATCTTTAATCTTGACTTCTCATTTCCAAGGATAGCAGGAAAAAATGAAAAAGAACATCTTAATCTTGCCAATCAAAGATAGAACATTTATCTCTAGCTTAAAATATTTGCAGTCTGAAAGGCTAAAGCAGGAGGATCACAAGTTCAAGTCACTGCTGGGCAACTTAGTGTGTCCCTCTCTCGAAATAAAAGAATAATAATAAAATGATAAAAGGCTGGAGCTGTAGCTCAGTGTGAAGGCCCTGGGTTTAAGCCTCAGTACAGATAAATAGGCTAACTACTTGTGAAAAGCATTTGTTTTTAGAGAATATTCATTTCTATTACTATTACTTCTATTACTGAAGATTAATTTTAATTTGATAATAGAAATACTTTAAGTACAGATAAGGTGAGTTTACAGAATATGTAGATACTGAGTATTGATAGGAAAGAATGCAAAGAACCAAAGAAACCTAGTTCTCATTAGGTGTCCAGACACACAATCTTTGCTGTACACCAAATATTCAGACTTAGACCGAACTAAATTTATAGAGGCCCCATATATATATTCAGCTGACAGTTGGAGGCAGTCATTCTGGATCTATGTGTCCTCTGCTGAACAGAAACAAGTACAATAGAAATTAACCAGCTGTTCACCTGGAGAGTTGCCAGGGTGCAGCTGTTGACCAGGTGCACACATCCCCGCATCTTGTCCATAGAACCAGTGTGTTTTACTGGCCCAAGCTGCCTTGCAGTGGGGGCTGTTTCTCAGATGTCTGCGGTGGTGCTTGGAACCACCTGGGCTTGGGGAGGGCCAGTGTAGAAGAGCAAAGCAGCACAGAAGGGCCAGACGAGGCTCGGGATTCAGGAACTGTGCTCCTTCACCCAGCCTGCAGCTTCTCAGAAGTCGTTTTGAAGTGATAAATGATCTCATCTTCTTTCCTTTGCTTCCTTCTGTGTGCTTCAGTTGAATTAATGAAGAGTGTGATTTGATCTGTAAGCCTTTCTGCTCCATGGCCCCCGAGAGCATATCCTTGGTCGTGGAGGTCACTACAACATCAAGCTAATTAATTTCCCATGTAGTACAAGTCAAAATTTGAATTAAGCATGTGCTTTCTATTATAGCAAGAAACTGCTGTATTGATCATTCCAATATATCCCAGGTGTAGGAGAAACTGAACAGCTGCAGAACTGTAGGGAAACAGTTTCTCCTCTGCAGCCTGGTTTTGTCCCTGCCCTGCCTACCTCATGTGAGCATTGAGAATTCTGGCCACTGAAGGGATGTGGCTGCCCCAGCTTAGTCCCACTGGACTTACCTTGGTTCCTGTTCACAAAAACCTGTTTTAGATGTGACTTGTGTCTCCATTCACCAGGTGGCTAATGCTACACACAATTGTCTCAATACCAAGCCTCATTTCAGCCATGCTGAGGACTTTAAATAAATTCCACAAACATACAAAAGAGCATGCAGCTGGGTCCCTAAATGCCAGCATAGGCTATTAGCTTTGAGAGGATGAGGTGAAGTTCATCTACCTGGATGCTTTCTGTTCAGTGGGATGTGGACTCCTCCAATACCAGGTAGGTGCAGCAGGAAAGAAGCACCATGCTGGGTACTTGTCTTCTTGGTTTTTTATCAGAAATTTTGTAATCTATGTTGTCAGAGGTTGTTCAGAGAACAATTCGAATCAGGACATGGAGTTTATAATATTATTTTTATGGTGGTCACCCAGATTTAACACAAGAAAATGCAAGAAATCTATCCAAGACACTAAACACATAGAATATTTAGCCAAGGGCCTGAATCCCACAGCAATGTTCCATATGAGTCCAGATAAAAACCCAGGGCTCATGATAATGCCTCCCATGCGTCCAACTGTAGGTCTAGAGCCCACAAGAAGGATTCATGCTGGTCTGTTTTACGAATCCGTGCTGGTAAGGCCCAAAGGTCAGCGGTGGAAGCTAGAACATCTTTACCAGCAGGGTGAAGGAGCTGTGCTGGTAGGTTGAGGGTTTTACACTAGAGCTTAGAAGTTACACTCAAAATAAGAACCAAGGCTACCCTGAAAAGTACCACAGCCATCCTCAGTAACACGGAGGTCCTGAGCTCCTCCAATGATAAGAAGAATAGAGTACATGCCAGAAAGCCAGCGTGACAAGTTTTTCCTGGAGACTAAACAGCACACATCTTCCCCTCTAGAGCCATAAAGCAATGTTCAATGTAAGGACAGAGGTCCCCCAAAGTGAACCACAGCCACTCTCATCAACAAGGTCTTCAGCTCCTCCGATGACAATGTCAAACTCACACTGGGGAAGCTAGTCATGAAGAGCTCCTCCAAGAGGACCAGCGACTCAAACAGCAACATTTAGAGAATCTCACAATGCCTAGCTTTTCCTTTTCCAATTCTCTATTTATGCTGGCAACTTTCCCCAAGTGGGCCATCTACACTCAGCACCACGCTGATTTAACTCAGTTGGTGTTAAGTTTACCACCAGTTTTTAATCCATAACAACCTGTGTTATTTAGATTTCCATTACTGTAACAAATACCTGAGCTAGTCATCTGATAGAGTGAAAAAGTAATTCTGAATCAGTTATACAGGTCTCACCCCATGGTCAGTTGGCCTCATTATTTTTAGGCCTGTGAGGAGGCAAACAGCAGTGGGAACATGTGGTGATGCAAAGCTCTTCACTTGTTTTCATCTGTGCCTTTCATGTGAACTTTGAGTTAAATAAACAAGGAATTCAGCAGAGAGTAGCTAGGAGCAGAGTCTAAGTGCCAGTCAATACAAGAGAGGGCTGAGAATCTTTCCTCAAGTAAGCCACTATATCTAAGTGCAGACCTAAAGGAAAGAAGAATCAAGTGATGCAGATAGCAAGAGGCAGGCCTGTCACCCCAAGGGATGAGCAGCTGGCAAGGTCCACAGGTGGGAACAAACCTGGATCAAGGTCTAGATCAGGTATAGTTTGCTTGGGTATAAGCAAACTAAACCGTGCAAGTATTTCATTGGTGTATTGCCTGATATTGTTTATCCGGAATGCAAACATCATCCACAGAAAGAAGATAGGCAGAGGAGGCTGCCACACTGTCCTCTGAGCTGCTCTGTAAAGAACACATGGGGTATAAGAAGGAAACAAAGTCCTGGTGCACTGTTAAAATCCAGGTTCAAAGTGATGTTAGCCTGGGCCAATACAGTGGTATTGGAGGTCAAGAGTTGCAGGCTAAGGACGGAACCAATGGAAGGCAGAGTTGACAGTGACAAAAATAATGGACACTGAGAACCCCTGCTGGGCTTTGCCCTGTGAAATCAGGTGGATGGTCATGCAGCTTATGGAAATGAGGGCTGAGGAGGGACATTTTGAAAGCTTCAGGAAGATGAGTAATCTAGGTGTTTTGGATGTGCCACCTTTATGATGACCTTTGGACATCCCTGTTCTTAGGAGAGATTGTTGAGAGAGTTTATTAAGTTGTGATTCCTAAAGACCCTTATATATATGCAGGAGCGCATTCGCCCTGGCCAGTGATGGCCCCTCCTATCACAGTACTTACTCGCCCTGACACCAAAAGTCATTCAACAGTTTTCGCAGATGCAATTTCCTGCCAAGACTTCTCTTGAACTTAACTATTTCCTTCTTGTCTCAGACTTCTTCCTGTCTGCCTGAGAGCCACCCGACATCCAGCTTCTGACGCACAGGACAGGCAGACCTTGCATCTTCAGACCCACACCTGAAAGCAGAGGCAGACAGCAGCAGTCCAGTGGACAGCCATTCCTCATCCTCCAGAAGTTGACATCTTCCATCCATGGAGCAGGGGCCTTGGGGCTGGCCAGCTGCCCTCCCTTCCTTGCTTGCCCTATCTAGGAAGTTCTGCCAGCAGAAAACAGAGTACTTATTCCAAGTCAAGGGCTGTATTCTTTGTGTCTTTTCAGGACCTGAGCAAAGAGCAATTCAATGATGCGAATATACTGTACACACCTTGTATTTTACATCAGCTTCCTGTTGCCAGGAATTTTACTAGAATGTTCTCTCCTCCTTTGGAGTGACACTCCAGCCTTTATACTTACAATCTGAGTAGCCCAAAAGGGGCCATTCACTTGTGCCAGGAAATGTGTTCCTAACTGCTCTTTGATTTTTGAAGCCAGTCCTGTCTGCTTTTCTGCTTATAATTACTGATGTGAACAGGATCAAGGCTCAGCAGGTCACACAGATGGCATGACTGTCAGACGCACAAATCAGCTCCAATTTTGTGGAGCTCAGACAGTAAACATGAAATCAAATAGTGATACAGACAGCAAAAAAGATTACAAAATGTAGTGGGGCGGAGGCAAATTACTTAGAGAGTTTCAAGGGAGGTTTGCTGGAGAAGTGAAATTCAAGTTAAGAAGAAATTCATCAGTACAACTGCCAGGAAATAGTGTTGCAAGTCATAGGACAGCCAAGGCAGTAGTTTTCAGACACGGTTATGCCCAGACCATGGTCAACAAACTTCAGGTTGCTGGAAAAAGAAGGCCACGGCTGGTTCAGAGCTGGGCAGGCCCCATCTGACCTTGACTCTGATTGCACTCCGAGCACGTAGGCTCAAGATCACAGCTCATATATGCACTGCTTTCCTCTCAGGACCTTACAAAGCTTTAGGTAAATAGAAAGCAAAAAGGACACATCTGGGATAGTTAAACCAGGTTTAAATGGAACTGAAGAAGAGAGTTAGGTTTGAGCGCCAAATGACTCAAAAGTCTTCTGCCCTGCTTCCTGATCTGTATTTCAGCTTCGCCAGATAGCTTGTTGCTACCTGCGCATATGTGCCTGAGGCCCTGTGCTTGGAACGCTTTCCTCTCTTGTCCCTGTCTGGATGACTAGCTTCTCCGTATTCTTGTGCCTCCTCTCAATATCCTCTTCTGCAGGAAACTCTGATAGCATCCATCCTGCACTAATGACTCATATCAATGTGCCACTTGTCAAATGTTCGTGTGGTAGTGGAGGCATTGTTCTCCCAGTGGAAAATCACTTCTTTTTTTCTTATCTCCCTGCATATACATACACAGTTCTCTCCAGTTAGGAGAGATGAGAGGCAGGAGGAAGCTACATGTTGCTGACCATCAGCAGCCCACAGTGATTTTTGTCTGATTATTACAAAACCGTTCTAGTTTAATCCCAACATAAATTCATGCAGCGAGCACCATTTCAGCCACATGGAAAGTACAGCTAACAAAATAATAAAATACTAGAAAGACCAGTAAGCCCAATCGGAGATTTAGATATTGTTTTACACCTGTACTCCAATGAAATTTGATGTGGATAATGTCAAATCTACACTAACATTATCTTTAATTATTTCTCATATTTTAATGATTATTAATATTATTTTCATCTTGATTATGTGAGTGGATTTCCTACAAAAGAAATGAACTTTGCACATGCCTGTAATCCCAGCCCTTGAATGGTTGTGAGGCAGGAGGATTACAAGTTCAAACCCAAGCCGGGTAATTTAAAAGCCTATCTCAATATAAATCTACAAAATAGGGCTGAGGATGTAGCTCACTGTGGCCCTGGGTTCAATCTCCAGTAACACACACACACACACACACACACACACACACACACACACACACACGCACACACATGCCCACACACGCACACACACACACACACACACACACACACACACACACACACACACAAAGTTAGAGAAGGAAAAAGGGCTTTGCCACTTGGCCTGATAATATTTTTATGTTTATAATGTCACATCACCTAGGCAGAAATTTTTCACCCTCATCCCCAGAATTGGTGCCATCACCCCAGAAGCAGCCTTAAATGTGCCTGATGATGCAGAGGGAAAGAGAGCCGGGGCAGACCCCAGGAGCTGCAAAGGGCTCCAGAGGTCTGTCCTGATGATTGGGTGAGAAATGGCATATGACTGAAGTCTCACAGGTACTCTCAGCAGCAAGGACTTCAGAGACACTGTCCAAGGCCCAGCTGTTTATTTCCTCCTGCTGCTCCTTTCCTAAATAAGTGTTCAGCAAAAGGCACCTGCATCTTCACCGGGCATGTACGCCTCGTGGAAAACCCCGCAGATACTTCTCACTGCTGCAATGTTGCAAGCTCTTTTCTGGGCCTCCAGCCTGTCTTGTTTGTCTCTTTATGCCACTTCCTGGCTTTTTTGTCATCCACAGTTTTAAACTCATTTTCGCTTAGCTTGACATTTCTGTCCATTAAAACCCAACTGGAGACAAAACTCTGACACACCATTCCTTAGGAAACTAAGAGCTGATCATAATTTAATGTGCTGTTCCTCGCAAGAAAAGCACAAATTATTTTATTGTGGTAAAATATATCATCTCCTGGGCATAGGACATATTTCCTTTCTTTTAATTTTAAATATCTACATGATTTTGGCAGCCTTGCATCTCTTTGTAAATCCTCAATATGCTTTTTAAAAAGGAACATTATTGATTATTTTAGGAAACTGAGCTGTGCAATTCTGTAGCCACCAGGTACACATCTGTTGGGAAACTCACTGTGGCTGCTTTGTGTGGTTAGTAGTAAACCTAAGCTCAATTATAAGACAGCATGAACAAGCTATAAAGTAGCTCAGTAGAAATTTTCGTATTGACTTCACATTGAAATATTTTTGATATATTAGATAAACAAAATATGCTACTGAAACTAATTCCACCAGTTTTCTTTTGCTTTTTATATTATTTGCTTTTTATATTATATTTGCTTTTTATTATATTATATTATTTGTCTTTTACACTATATTATATTTGCTTTTTATATTATATTATATATTTATTTTTGATTTTCATATTATATTATATTTCCTTTTTATTGTATTATATTATATTATATTATTTGCTTTTTGTGTTATATTATTTTTTATCTTACTAGAAAAATTTGAAGTGATACATGTGATTTGCCTCACATTACATTTCTATTGCTCCTTGGTATGGTATAGAAACTTGTATGTATGTGACTTATATATTTTCACAGTCATTTAATGTCTAAGGGATTAATCATTACCTGATCTCATTTTAAAAATGGAGGCTTAAGGCAGGGGAGGTGGCTCAGTGGTATAAGTGCCTGCCTGGCAAGTGCAAGGTTATGAGTTTGATTCCCGGTACCAAAAGAAAACAAAAAAATCATGGAGGCTTTTAGTTTGCTCAGCATCACAAAGCTAGCAGCAAAAATTAGATCCTCAGATTACTACCCCAAAACCTGGTCCCTGTGCAAAAATTCTAGGACACTTTCATTGCTTTTGATATAACAATGAACTTAGGTCTCAGGCAAACTTTCAACTGCCTTTCAAGTAACATTTCAATTTTTAAGTCAGAAAAATAAGGCCAGATAGATACCTTAAGAACTTATGAGAGTTCTTTATGCCCAGTAAATGATATTGCACAATGAAACACAAAACTGTTAAAGAAAGCTCTGCTTTAATAGACAAAAAGTCTCTTTTTCCAAGGGAAATAAATTACTAACCTTTGGCCTTTTGTTTTATGCTCTCTGAGCAAAGATACACTTTGCTTTCTTCTCCCTCAAACATCCATCCCATTGACCATTCATCGACCATGACGAATCTTACATTAGGCTGTTGCCACTCCATCCAAATGTCATCCTCATGTCCCTCTTCCTGGCCCAAATCCATGATGTCTGCTTTCACTGCAATGGGTGGATCCAATGTGGGGTCACTAAAATGTTGGACTGGGGATCAAGTCAGTCAGTGGGTTCATAGTCCCTGAAAGTATTCAAGCTTTAGAAACAACTCCTTGGGATGATAGTTAGGATATCTTCCAACAATAACTGTCAACAGATCAAAAAGATATTAAAGAGGCAAATCCTTCGGAATGTTTACCATTGGATGGACTCAAATGTTTCTTCCTTTCCCCACTGCTTTGGTTTAGATCTACTGTTTCCCTGAGCGTTCACCCATTTGGATGATGATCGGATCATGAATGGATCGTGCTTATCAGTAGATTTATCCATTGGTGAGCTCAGTAGCCAAATATGCCATTACGAGGTGGACCCTGGGTGGAGGTGGTCACTGGGATGTGACCTAGAAGGCTATGTTCTTGTTCCCAACTCCTCCCTTCTCTCTGTCTCTTGAATATCATGATACAAAGAACTTTCATTTACTAAGCTCTTCCTCCCTTTTTTTTTTCTGCCTTGGAGTCAGCTGACCAGGCACAGAGTAAGGCCTCTGAAACTTGGGGCTAAAATACACCTCTCTTTCTTGGAGTTAAATATTCAAAGCACTTTTGTCTCAGCAAAGACAAAGTGACCAATACAGCCACTGCTATTGAGATTACCTGCTTCACTGCTGCAGAGACATCCTTTATATTCCAGAATAACTGAGTCTCAAATGCTGAAGATAAATTCAACAGTCCAAGCTGATAAAGAAGCATGCTTGATGATAAAGTTCAATGAAGACGGTTGTGTTAGAAATTATTTAGGCATGTGAATGTAATTTCAAAGATCAATAAATGTGCCAAGCAAATGTAGCCTGAAGTTAAACTACTGACAGAGAGGGACTTAGGACTGATTTTCCACCTTCTTGTTAAAAAAAGCTTAACAGTTTACCTTGCCTTTATCTTAGTAAATTGCTATTTTTAGAGCAAGAAAACATTCTTTTTTTTCTGAGGGTTGTATGTGTGTATGTGTTTTTTTTTTATAAACAGAAACATTCTTTACAAAATGGCAATAGGAATAAATGATATATCTTTGTTTCTATTTATATTATTTTACAAGGAATTGAATGTATTTCCTCCTCTCTGTATTCAGCCCTGTGCTAGGCACTGCAGCATATTAAAAGTCAAGTGCACAGCCACTGCTCTTGAAGAGTGTAGACATACTCAGAGAGACATTCAAGGGTGATGGTATAAAAAACATAATGCGAGCTGCAGGGGTGCTGTACAAGCACTGCTTCCAC